TAGCTGTTCATGTTTAAATTGTACACAAATTACATGTACAGTGAAACCATTTTATGCAAATAATACGAAAAAGGCACAGTAGCTATGCTGGTACTTTTCAATGTTCTTTTCCTGATGGGGATAGTTTGACACATGCAGGAACATTTTCTATTTCCACGATAGCCTTTGTTTTGACATCACTGAAACAAGATCTGGAGCAGATTATGGTCGACTCTGGAGCTTCCGCTGTAATGCAGTTCTGCTTAGAAAAACAACAACAAAATAAGAATACATCAAATTATTTTTCATTCTTGATAGAAACTGGAGACGTAAAGTCTGTCTGCCCATGTAATCAAAGGCTGCATCTTGGATGAAGAACATCAATATTGATTGTTGGCACTCTCTCTCTCTGTCCCCATTATAATACAAAATAAATCCTCTGGACATTTTGTAACAGTGACTGCCAACCCAGTGACTTTAGTGAAGTGAAAGAACAATCATCCGAATATAGATCCTCGGTTCATTATTTATCCAATTATTGATTTAAAAAGTGGAGGTTTGTGCTATTTGAAGTTATCCACTGCAAGCCCGAATGCATTCAAGAAATGCGAATTGAATCTAAAATAAAGCCCAACAGGACTCAAATTTCTGCGTACTCGGGTCTATTAGTGAAGTCCAGAGTTCAAAGTAAACATGGTGAAGTTGGATTTAGGTGTTATGCTGCACACAGCTTGGAGTGTCAGTGCTTTTAATTGGAGTTTTGTTTTGTTTTTACCCCCCTATACCTTTAAGCAATTAAATTACATTTTACTGTCAGTAATTTTAGAAAGCTACTTTTAATTTCTTTACTTTGCTTATGAATGCCTTTAAATCTTTTGGTTGTAAATGCGTTTAAATGTTGTCAATGTTCTTTGAAAGTGTACCTGCGGTGGTCATAAGGAAAAATAGAAAATGTTTAACAAGAAAAACTGCATCCAAACGTGTTTTTGGTGACACTGGTTCTATTAAAGCAAGCTTATAGAAGCATATTGAGCCACCTTGTGTATAAATCCAACTGCCTCGCCTTGCTGAATGAAAACCTTCCTGTGTGATTTGACTTAAGATACACATTCGACAAAAATGAAATCGTTTCCTCCTCTTGAGGTCAACGTCGGCAAAGGCCTGACTCTCGGATGTCTCTGAAAGATTATCCTCAACGTTTATCCTGCGGCGTGAGGTGCGCTAAGAGTGAATTGGCTTTTGTTTCAAATGCTTCGACAACTACAGTACTCTTCTGTTTATTTTTCAGGACTCTGAATGCCATGTGGCACCATGCTGCCTCTCAAAGGTCAGTTTTGGCCCAATGACATAAACTGTATGGTTAAATGGTTGGTGTACTGGTGTTCGTCATGGCCACTTTTACTGAGAGGGTTTGTCAACCCACCGCGAGCAAATCTTACCACAAAAAAAAAAAAAAACTCAACTCAACTGTATTCATAGAGCACTTTCAAACAGCCATCGCTGCACACAAAGTGCTGTACATGGAGCATCTAACATATACAACAGTAAAGCAACAAATCAGTAACAAAGACGGTAGAGAGCACCAAACAGTATGACTAAGATCATAATTTGGGTCATGCTGAGTCAAATTCCAAAGAATACAAGTGAGTTTTGAGGCGGGTTTTAGTGGGAGGGCATTCCAGAGAGAGGGACCAACAACGGAAAAGGCTCAATCCCCTCTGAGCCTCACTTTAGTTCTTGGTACTTCTAATAATGTCTGGTCTGCAGACCTGAGGCGCCGGGCAGGTGTGTAGGGGCGGTTGAGCTCAGAGAGGTAAGGTGGCGCGAGGTCATTTAGAGATTTGAAAACAAATAATAGGATCTTGAAAATAACTCTAAAATGTAAAGGGAGCCAGTGAAGGGATGCCATAGTAGGAGTTATGTGCTCCCTCTTACGAGTACCAGTCAAGAGGCGAGCAGCGGCATTCTGGACCAGCTGCAGGTGCTTAATGGAGGATTGGCTGACTCCAAAGTAAAGGGCATTGCAGTAATCAAGCCGGGATGTGACGAAGGCATGAATTACTGTCTCAAAGTGTTCTTGAGAGGGGAGAGGTTTTACTTTGGCCAGCTGTCTAAGATGAAAGAAGCTGGATTTAACAACGGCACCAATTTGCCGGTCAAGTTTAAAATCACTGTCCAGTTTAAGACCCAAGTTTGAGACTGTTGACTTAAGATAAGGAGACAGGGGGCCCGCTCAAGCATCAATAGCCTGTTAAAATCAATGTTATCCTCCGACTGGGTTGCTGAAATGTTGACCATTGCTCTCCATTGTGTCTTGTCTATCATTCACAATGAAGAGAGAGGAGGACATTTCATCCTATTTCTGTACCATCAAGACGAATAACAATGAGGCAGACGTTGAGACCGAGCCAGATGATGGTGTTGAGAGAGCTGAGGAGAGGCGAGTCAATGGCGCCAGATAGAGTCAGATGACTTGGTAGACTGCTTTCCAGGGAGAGGACGCAGAGCAGGAAAGAGAAACAGATAATGATCGTTCGAGTGAGATACCAGCGGAGTGTGAGATATTGACAGAAAATATACCGATATGTGGATCCACAAGCAATGGACCAAGATGTTGAGGGAAAAAAAAAATCTTTGACTGCTTGGCATTTGTGTGCATGCGAGTGTGCGTATTACTTTTTCGATTTAATGATATTGCAATTAACATTATAGTTATGTTTATTCATAGGGATGCCCTGATCAAAATTTTTTTTCTTGCACTTGAGTCCGAGTAACTTGACTTTGAGCATCTGCTGATTCCAGAGTCCCTCTGCAATGCAATGCAATGAAGTCAATAAAATGAGACTTCATCCAAATTGTTTCAATTACCTTCGTTAAATTTTTTTTTAAAAACATTAATAAAGGTATACCAAATTTATACCTTTTTTTATATGGCTGGAAATCAGCAGTGGTTGAAATCAAGTGAAGAACTAAAATATGTGATTCTTGACTTGAGAAATCAAAAGTTTCAAAAGACAACCATAATTAGTGATGCGGAGAAGACACTTAAAAGAGCTGCGAGAGCTCACATGCTGTGTTATTCCCTGTCATGTGCAGGGTGTCACGTTTGAAAAATCGGCTCGGATGTTAAAAATTCATATGTGGCTAACCCGCTTTATATGGGTTCCCAATAAAGCAGTTCCCAGTGTTTGTGCACTAATGTCTTTTTCGACACGTTTATGCCTATTTATGAGCCTCGTATCCAACAACAACAACAAAAATTACATTCCATAAAAAAAAGGCATGGCACAAATATTCCAAGGAAATATTAAGTGGAAGCCATATTATTCTGGACCCACTCCAGATTCCTTGGAAAAAAACAAAAACCAAACCAAAAAAAAAAAAAACACACCAGACTGTATGACCTTAACATAAAAAGATTTTACGTGGGGGAAATAATCAATTTCCCTTCCCCCATGAAGCCGTCACTGGCGTGAAGCTATCTATGCTGTGCACCTGGGTCTTTTCCACGGGGATGTCTTTAGTCATAAACGCCCTCTATTAGGGTTTGCTCTGCTCAACACACATTGCAAGAAAAGCAAAGCAAAAAAAAAAAAAGCAAAAAAGAAAAAGGTTGTCATAAAAGCGGCAAAGAACGCAGCCTCCTCTGTGGGTGCCGTGAAGGTGCGGAGGAAAAAATGCTCAAGGACACCTGTTTCTCTCACAGAGTCACACGAGCAGCCTGTCTGCAATGTTACGCTGCTCTCGTGTAGAGTGGGGAAAAAACAGAGGACATTTTGTCGACAACCAATATAATTCGATCGATCACACACTGTATGCATTTGACAAACATAACCTTGAATCTGAGTTTTGTTTGGGTGAGGATGCCTTGATTATTTATTCATCAAAGAAAACCTAGGTAGGGATTTGATTGAGTGCAAAATATGAAATCCCCCTCCAATTAGCCTGACAGCATCGGCATCACATCTGCAATTCTAGGACACCAGACCAAACTAATCTGCATGGAAAATCCACATAACCTGAATCCCACTTTGCAATTATGCTAAGGAATGCACAGAGCCTCTGGCTGTTCTGCTCGGTTATCTAACAAACAAACCCAAAGACTGCTGGAAAGTAGCGTGTATTGCTCTAGAATTTATTATTGGGTTTCCCAGCTATCCGTTTTCATACTGTTAACCCTTCGGAGTTCACACATGTTCTTGAATTCAATCCTTGCTGATTTTGGGTGAGAAGTGGGGCGCACCCTTGGACTGGTCACCAGTGTACATAGACTGACAGCCATTTATTATACTCACGCCTTTGGACAATTTCCAGGCTTCAGTGAATGCTTGGAGGGTAAAAGAAAGAAAATCATAAGCATGGCGAGAACTTGCGAACCTGAGATTTAAACCCAGAACCAACTTTGACAATCTGGCAGGCATACAAGATGTACGTACTTACATGCTCCACAGTGCCACTTCTTTCCGAGTTGACGTTAGAAAATAATCAGTAGACCGAATAGCAGTTTACCCAGTTAAGATTTAGTCCCAACTGGGTTCATTTCTTAGGATGAGTTCTTTTAGGAATGGGCCACAATTGGCCTAAAGCCTTCAAATGGTACCTTCAAGCCAAATTGGTTCAATTGATCATGAACGTTTCAGTCTGCTACAGAGCTTGCTGTTGATCTGATCGTTTGAGGAACCGTTTGAGTTCCGGAGTTCCCTACCCCTGCTTTTGAACTTCCAAAACGGTAGTGAGCTAGGAGCGGAGGATAGTTAAACCTCCGAATCAAGGGGACATTTCCTATCTCCCACTACTCCCAGGTGGGGTACTTGAACCTTCGTAAGGGGGATGTTTTTGCGCACCCTACAGCTTGCGACCGCGTTCCTGGCGGTGTGACTTCCTCCCGATTTATTGAGGACACAACACACTTGATAAAACTTCACGACGAGTTGCAAGCGAGAGAACGTCCGATGCCGGCAGAAGAGGAGCGATGGCGGAGAAGCTGCGCCTTTAAAAACGCCAGACTCCTCCTCTGCCGAGTGGAAGCGAAGAGCCGAGTGGTGCTGGCAGGAGTCTGAGCCACACGATAAACTCTGGCATCAGCTTGCCTCGTTCCGGCAGTCAGGGAGGACACGGCGAGCGTGCTGGGGGCAGAGAGACGGGAGAAAGAGCAAGCGTGTCAGAAGGCGGGGGAGAGAGTGAGTGAAAGAGAGAGAGAGGAAGAGAGAGAGCAAGAGAGAGAGAGAGAAAGAGAGAGAGAGGAGGAGGGTCGGGGAGGCTCGGTGGTCAGTGCGATGAGACAAACGAATAGACGAGTGAGGAGAAGCTGTCATCTGCGCCCAGCTTCCCTTTTTTCGCAGCTTTGCCCGTCTGTCGGCTGCCTCGCGACGGCAGGCGAACGCCAGCGGGGGATGACTGGTGGCTCGTTTTCAGCCGCGCGGTTATTGGAGTGACGCTCGCGGCGGCGCTGACAGGATCGGAGGCGGCGGCGTCTTCTCCAGCCACTTCGGGCTCATCCGACAGACTGCCGATTGCTCTTTCTCGCCTCCTCCTGCCCGTCCTCCTCACAGCTTCATCTTCCTCTTCCTGATGAGCCCGCGAGTGAAAGACCCCTGCAGATAGAGGCTTCTCTCTGTCAAGACAGTAAGTAGGGGAAGGGAGGAAACTGTGTGTGTGTGTGTGTGTGTGTGTGTGTGTGTGTGTGTGCCAGTGAGAGAGAGTGGTGGAGAAAGTGTAAAAGGCAAGACGTTGTCTGTGGCTGGCTCTGAATGCCAAGGATGTGCATAGACAATTTACTCGGGGCACAGCAACAGTAACGTGATGCACGGAAAAGGTAAATCAGTGTGTGTGTGTGTGTGTGTGTGTGTGTGTGTGTGTGTGTGTGTGTGTGTGTGTGTGTGTATGTGTGGTGATGCTTTCTGACACCAGCTCCGAGTTAATCCCATCCGCTCTCCGTCGCCGTTCACTCTGTCGCATGTTGAAGGTGCCGAGAGAGAGCGGGAGAATAAGTGATTAGTTTCCTTTCCACCCTCCTTCCCTGTCTGTCCAGGTGCCATGTGCGGTTGTCCGGTGCACCCCGTGCCAGCGGCGTTGCCCCGGATCTGGAGGGAAACGCATCACATCTCTCATTCGCGGGGGCTCCACCGGGAATCTTTGCTTGGATTTATCTCATCCTGTTGGATGGCTCTCTGAAAGAAGAGTCCGCATAGGAAACCACATACAGCACGGATAAGAAGTAAAATAATTATCCAATCATGGCAAGTAGAGGCAGACCTGGTTCCCTTAGCAACAACTGAGGGAGATAGAGGAGAGTCACTTTCTCTTTTGTGTGTGTGTGGGGGTGGAGGGGGGGGGGGTCACACCCCTCTGGACTGTTGTGGGCATCGAGTGACACCCAAATTCTGGGAGTAGTCGCTCATTTGACTCAGAGTCCCCTGTAACTGTCTCTCATCCGCAGTGATATTTTTTTAACTAGTTCAATCAACGAGCAATTTCGTAGGCTTAGGAATTAATTCATCCAGATCCTACGCCACCTGGAATAAATCCTTCTATTGGGAAGGGAGATTGGATTGTCCAGGAAAAGACCCGCATCGGTCCATCTATCCTCTCCCTGACAACAACTGAAAGATGTCATTAAGTTGTCATTTGCAAAGAAACGGGGATGTGAAGTTTATTTTGACATGACCTCTGACGTCAAACGGAATATCCAAGTTTTTTTCCATAACCATCAGCAAGTCTACATATTTAATCCAAAAAAGTTGTATTCGTCTTTCTCTAGGAAAGTGGGTATGTGGACTGTTACAGCATGGTCCAACGTTGCTATGTTTTTCAAGTGCAAAAGGGAAAAGTTCTTTCCCAAGTATAGAACTGTGTTTTAAATAGCATCTCCTCCAGAACCATTTGAGTTGTACACACTGACACATGAGATGAGTTGGCTCAGTGTGATTATGTAAGATTTTTTTTATTACAGCTTCGGCACGTTTTTTTTTTTTGCCTCTTCTATTTTCCATGGATTTATCGTGTTTGACTTCTCCTGCACTCACTTTCTCCCCGGTTTTGGACGGACGCCATTGCTGCCAGAGAGTGACCCTGTGCCGGGTGTGCGGAGCGAGGAAAGGTGTTTTGGTCGTCCAGGTGCTTTTAAGATGTTGAGGTCTCCCTGCGTGGCCGGGCCCCCTGTTCGGATCAGTAGCACTGAGGCTCCTCGTAGCCAAAGACATGGACCCCGACTCGGCTCCCCCACGCCCTCAGCCTGTTGGCCACTGGCCCCACGTCACCTTGTGAAGGATGTCCCTCAGCAGAGCTCCGGCCCGGGACACCTCTGAGACCCCCAGCCCGAGAGAACGCATCCGCAGCCACATGAAGATGGTGATTGACCAGCTGGAAGGAATTCTCAGAGAGCTCAAAGATGTGGCCAAGGAACTTCGGGAGGTGAGCTTGATAATTACACACACATCCGGCTTTAAGGCTTTGAGAGCTTGTGGGAGAAAGTGGGTTCTAAGTGGGTGTGCTACCGATGAAGAGTTCATTTAATTAAGCGTAACATGCTCCTCACCGTGTGGAGATTGTGATTAAGATTTGAACGCGGGAGCTGACTTTTTAGCTGTGCAGCAAGAGGATATTGTTGATTAGTACCACCGTGAGGGTGCCTTTTCTCCTCATCAACGATGAGGCAATTACAAAACACTATTTGTGTGTTCAAGTTAACAGAGGGTGGGTAAACTTGGTGTGAAAACTCGACGAGATGCACTAAATCCTGGCTGTGAGGAAAAAAAAAAAAAAAAAGGTCTTAGATAAGATCCAACACTTAGCACCGCAATGGTTATGTAAGCATTTTGTTCAGGATCAACGAGATTCATGTAGTTTTGCAAATGCAGCGTGTCAAGGATGTTTGAAAGAGAGGTGGCAAGAGAGAGATTGTGTGGCATTTATCAGGTTCTGCCACTTGAAATAATGGCGCAAGGTGGAAGAAAAAAAAAATGTCTTGTGTCTGATAATCGAAGTGAGAGAGTACACAATGCCCCTCGTCATCTCTTCGGGATCTTCCCCCAGCTAGGAGCTCGTCTTGTTCGGCTCCTCCTAAAGAGAGCGATAACAGCAGCCGGGCAGACAGAGACGAATGGAAGCTCCTCTAAACCCATCCCGTGTCCTTCCAGTTATTAACCTCTCACCTGTCTCCAAGGAAGAAGAAGGAAAGGAAACATGCTTTAAACATGCTCGAAAGCTCCACGTCGGTGCAGGCAACGTCCAAAAGAAAAGGCGGGGAGGTTTTGAAAGAGATGTTTCCAAGCTGCCAGGCCATCGCGTCACAATCCCTTTGCACACATTCTTTCAGACTCCAACCTCTTATGTACTCGGAGGCGCAAGGGCACGGCGCACAGCGAGCCTGCTCTAAAGTGGGACGGAGAGGCCGTGATTGATGATAATGGTGCCACAGCAAGTGGAGTAATGCCGGCCGGAGATATTTATGAACAAACACGCGCCTTGTGCTACTGCCAGCCCCTGACGCCTATTACCATTCTCGTCTCAACGCCCATTAAGGGAGCACGATGACGCTAACCTAACTTTGCTGGAATGTCTCAATCACGCTTAGACAGCAGGGCTTCATATGAACCACTGTAGTGGGGAAAAATATTACAAAGTATGGCATCCTTTTCTCTGAAACCGCATTTATGCTCTACTTGTGTACGTACCCTCCCCTAGAAGCTTACTGGCAAAGTGGAGCAGTACCAACTGTGAAAAGTGGTACGCACGCAACATCCGCTTGTTACGCTCCTTCCAATTTTGCCTTCGTAACCCTTGTGCTGCAATTTCTACGATGTTTGTAACACATGGGTTACCCCATATGTTACAATTTCTACAATTTTTGTAGATTTTTGCGTATTCTTCATCACGTCATCTTTAAATCAAAGACACAGCATAAAAAGTGTGTGATATGAAATATTCCAATTCATGTTTTATTTATATAGATTTATATTTATGTTTTGGTCATAGCACAATACCGCTTTTATTGTCCATAGAGGGCAAAAATACAAAGAAAAAAATAAGAACTATATGTGTATGTATAGCACTGATGCCACTGAACATGTCGAGTGGTTGAAAGTGAAATAAATATTCAGGAATAATACTTTTACAATTTTTGTAAAATTGTATGTTGCGTTATATAAACTTATTTAGATTGACTGCAGCACATGGGATTTATAACAACATTATTGCCACCTCCTCCACCATCGCGGTATTTTCTGCTTTAGTCTTTTTGTTCATGTTTGGGGAATATTGTGATTCAAAGCAGCCTACGCATCCATGTTTGTACATATCGGGAACACCACTTTGACTTACAGTCGAGTATCGAGACGCAGGTGTCAGAGATGTGAATGTATGCGCAGTTGGTGATGATTCTGGACTGGGTCCACAGAAGCTCACTGACGGACTGACGATGCCCACCTCTGTTAGTCTGGAAACATTTGAGAATATCAAGTGATGACTTCATTATTTCTGATATTATAACCAGCATTTGTGGTGTGTGTTTTAAACACTGAGCTTGCCCCTGAAAAATTGCCGATTACAGACTAGATTTATATTGCCGGCCGAAATAGTTTTGTATATAGTTTCATGTTGGATAATATTTTCTGTTTACGATGCCAGCCATTAGCCACCGTGTTATCAGTATCAATATCTTCCAATTAACCGCCTGTGCAATTGCAGATTGGCGGAGGAAACACAGAGTCACAGTCAGATGCCGGATGGCTAATGTTGCGTAAAATCGCCCATTCTTGGTCATGTGAAGGGAACAACATAATAGATAACAACTGTCACATAAATAAATGATGAATCGCGCGAATGCAGCGAAATAAATAATTCGGCGAGGGAGCAGTAATGACTGATTATCACCCACAAGGTCTTCAGGGAGCTGGTGTGGGACTGCCACGTTCTCGGGAAGTCAAAAGATGACATTGTAGAAATGTGGCCTTTCCAGTTTCCTATTTTGCCTTCCAGACTCTGTCAATTTTAGAAGCTCAATATAACACGTCGGGCAAAGCAAAAAAATATATCTATCTTCATTCTAACATCAATATTCAATTCAGCTAACTATTCTGCCTGTAAAACTTACTTTGCTTGTTTCAAGTTTTATCACTGTGCACGCATTTCTTTTTCCAGCCTTCAATCAAACCATTTAGTTGAAGCCTCAACTCGAATAAAAATACGAGGTTTCGATTTTTAATTTTTTTTTTTTTAATAACTGGTAGCTGTAATAGCCTTGCATATCGACTCTGAGAAATCATAATGTTCAGTAGCCATTTAAGAAGGCAATTCCAAATGTACGTTCTACTTTTATTGAATTTCAATCTTTAGCAAAGTCCAGGCCATTTTTTATTTCACTTTTAACATGACATGGTCCAAGGTAAATCTTTTCATCACATCGAATAAGAGCTCAGAGAAAACAGTTTGGTTCAGTCTGCCAAGGTGGAAAAGATTGTGGTCTACTTATGAGCTCAAGGATTTTCTGCCAGCAAACAAATCATTTAATTGATGTTATTAACGGTAGAAATGTGTATTCATTTGGAAAAATCATATGAAGGCGCTCTGCCAAGTCTCAAACATGATTCAAAGCAAAAACATGGATACTGTACCACAATCAGAAAATGCCAGGAACTTGGCTCTTTGGTCTATAGGGGACCGTACCAATTTTCGGGTAGGGGTGAAGGCTCATAATCCGTTGTGATATTCTAAAAAGCTGTACAAGCGAAACTATCCTCACCTTTCTAGTCGAGTTCCTAACTAAAATGTTACCGTAATGACGCAAGCAATTTTAATAACCAGATTCATAAAAAAATGTCATAACTGAATTGGGAATGTTTAAATAACATTTTAACATACATGCAGTATATACACATGTCAAAAGAGCGTTGCTCAACAAATAACTTCTCCTGGCTGTGGTTAACATTCAAGCATGATGCGGTTTTAATTCCATCATTTTCCTTTTTCGCCAGACCTTGACCTCACCCCATTCTTTTCCCTTTAGGGCCTTGCTGTCCTCATCGTCTGAAAGGAGGTCACGCACAGGGTCTTGCTTTCTTGTTTGCCAGAAACCATCAGCCTCATTAATAAGCAACCCGTGCCAAATGTGCGGCTCCTAAATTCTTCCAAAATTCAAAGCACAAAGTTGAATTCTCTTCCGTGCCGAACCTACGGAATGATCCGCTATGAAACATTAATCATTGGTGCGCCCTCAGTAGCCTGTCTATGGGAAGTGTAGCACATATCCGCAACATTCTTGGCACACTTCCTTTCGTTGGATTTCCGCTCCTGCAATCACAGTTTTCACCCATAAAAGCCACCCATAAAAACTGTCATGCATTTAATTTCCACGATTGTGACACAAACATTCATTCGAATGTGCTGGCACAAGTGCGCAATGCCTGACTGGGCTTTGACTGTTGAATCCATCCTGCATAAAGGCACAATCCACAAGCCAATAACATAATAGCCTCTTGCTGAAGAGAACACAAAAGGACGCAGCCCGGACAAAGACCAAAAATCACTGATTGGCAGGAGAACATCAACTATAATTCCGTCCTTCCTATTGAATTAGATGGCTGTTGAAAACTCAAATCTGCCTCTTGGCAATCAGCATGGACTCCAAAGATTTCTCGAGTTAAATGGAAAATAAAGAAGCCGACTGTACAAAAGTTAGTGTGGAATTGTAGATAATGTTCCATTAGGAATGCGGTCGATTGTGTTGAATTGCTTGTTGATTAGTCACATTCTGATTTAATTGGGTCCAAAATAGAGTGCAGAGTACAAGTTTCTTGTCTAAAGAAGGAAAAGTGACGTTAGCGATGGGAAGTTAAACCACAGCTTATTCACGCAGTGGCAAAACTCATTTGGGCAGCATTTTCTTTGATCTCTCTACGACACTAGCAACAGGAGTTGTCAACATTCATACCAAAGCCCACATAAAAAACAATATCGGATTCATGATCCGTGAGGTAGATTTGTCACCCCTTTGCTGGTTACAGTTTTCAAGATAGCAGGAATGGTGGATAATTATATTTTCGTGCCAATGTTTGATCACTATGAATATTTTCTGATAACCATTTTTATGGTTGATTTGTTTGGGACCAACAGGTGGCTCTGTAGGGCTCCTCCTACATCAGCACACCTGTTGGTCATCATGTCATTGGTAGGTTTTCTGTTAAAAGTACTTCAGGCCCGACCACTCGGTATCGGGTCATTGTTGCTGTTTTGTTGCTTCTGTTGGTTTGTGTTTATCATGTCATATTTTTTGCTTATGCCATGGTTTTTGTTGTTACTTTGAATTCTTGTCGTTTGTTGGACTTTGCTTGTTTTGAATTTGGTTTTCTCAGTGTTTGATTAATACATTTTGTCAAGCTCACCCTGCTCCTCCGTCCTGCCTGCTTTTTCGGGTC